TGCCCTTTTAGAGTCCAAATAGCATAAAAATGATGATACATTGAAGTCATTCATTCATTCATTCATTCTCTTTTCAGCTTAGTCCCTGTATTAACTGGGGTCACCCATGAACATGCAAACTCCACACAGAAATGCCAACTGACCCAGCCGGGTCTCAAACCAGTACCATCTTGCTGTGAGGCAATTGTGCTACCCACTGCACCACCGTGTTGCCCACATTGAATTCTTATTAAGCAGAATGATTAATCCGTGCAAGAACCTGAACATGATTTACTATGTTCTAACCTTTCCCTCTTCAAACAGCCCTGAGCTCATACATGAGTCTGGAATGCAACTTTATGGATATTAATTTACCTGTACATGTTTTTTTTTTTGACTCTCAAAGTGCCATTGACATTTTTTGAATAACCAAAGACCACCATTTCAGCTAAAATCTCCTATAATCTTCTTCTAAAGAATGAAAGAGACCTACATCTTGCCTGATTGTGAGTAAATTATTAGAATTTTATTTTTGGGTGAACAATTCCTTTAACAATTTGTAATACCTAGCTTGGATGTATGTTGGTTTTTAAAGATAGGCTAGTCGGATGCATCTCATCATTTAGTTTTGTTTATGCTAGGGCTAGTCAGTGGCGAGCTTGAAGAAGGCTCTTATTGTGAATGTGGGTGGTTGTGATTGTTGAAAGTTTTTTCCCTTCATTTTCTTTCTGTTTTTTCTCTCAACTTTGCCTCTAAGCATAGTTTGAAGGTGGTCCTCATTTCTATGTGGCACTTGGTGATCTTTAATGTAGGGATTTAGTTTGCTTGGTTGGATTTTAAAGTATATTTCCTTTCATGTTGTTTGGCCACCGTCACCAAAAGTGCTTCATTAGCTTTATTCATTCTGACATGTGCGAGCTGTTGGACAGAGAGTGATACAGTAACAACTGGAAATTTTGTAAGCGTTTACTTTTTTGAAATGAACATTTTATCAGACCCAGTGATACTGGTTCTAAATTGAAAAACATCCCTTTGAAACTTTTTTCTAGTTATCATTTTGTGTCTTTGATTTAAATTGCATAATTGCAAAATGATTCAAATGTTATTTTGATGGCTTGTTTTAGTTACTCTACTAGATATAAGTTAATTTTTAAATTACAATTCAACTACCAACCAGTCATTGGAGTGTTAGTTGAATAAGGGTTATGGCAGGGTCTTAAAAAGTATTAAAAGTTGATTAATCAATTATGAGAAAATTACAGCCCTTAAAAGGTATTAAAAAGTCTAAGTCACATTTTTACGAGGTCTTAAATTAAGTTCAAACGTTGTTCAACGTGTTTGAATCCAAAAAAAAGCGTAAATAAATAAATTTTCCTCCTAATATTAACAACGGCGTGCTCACGATTGGTTCGGGCCGGGGCGTCTAAGTCCAAGCTCCTTTGTCTGGGTGATGTCACGTTATTTGCGACAAATGCTGGACGGTGATGTGACACTCTCCACATGTTGTAAAACCATAGAGCAAAACAGATGGCAAAATGGGAAAATGTAAGTTTGCGTACTCCTGGTTGGAGAAAGACGAGTTTAAAGTGGCTGAAGCCTGTTGCTGAAAACAAACACGTAATTTATTATTTCAAGCTTTGTTTCTTTCGAGCTATCTGAGTTCTGTTGCATGGTTGTGCTCCATTGATTTATTTAACTACAACTGTTTATTGAGTTAAAGGTTTGATACAGATTAAGTGGCAATGAGGTCTTAAAATATTCTGAGAAGGTCTTTAAAAAGTCTTCAAAAAGGTATTGAAATTACCTTTAGGATTCCTGCATATAGATTCCTGTTAATAAGTTGTACTTATTAGTTGAACAATTAGTTGAAAAATGACTTAAAGTCAACAGAATGTCTGTGAAGCTATTTTTAACAAATCAACAATTTGGACTAAATGGTTAAAAATGTTTAGGTTGTTTAGGCTTGTGAATGAATATTTTAGGGTACAAAATGCTCTGTTGTGTTATGGTAGACAGTTTACAGTTACTAAGGAGAAGCTCAAGCACATATACAGTGGGAAAAGGTCTTTTCAGTTGGACAAAAGTACATGTGATTTGAATTATCTAGGAAATCAACTTTGATTCAATTAGATTGTACTTGTGCAAGGACACTTTAATGCCCTTCTAAATCAGTACTTGAACAATCAGTTTAACTATGACGCAAGTGCACAAACCTCGTATAGCAGATTTTTCTAACAATCATTTAGTGTATCCCTCTTAGACAAAATCCAGATCAAATTTAATGGACAACTGAACTGAAAAAAATTCCACAGCTGCAAATTTGACTTGTGTATATGACATACTGGAAGATAAATATTTTCATAATAAATCCAAATTTCAATGCATAACCTGGCGCATGATCTCAGTAATAAAAAAGAAGTATTGCAACCGGAGAAACAACTGTAGCACTTTTTCCTACATAAAATGCCTCAGAGTGCAGAGATAACACATAACACCATGTTCTAAGTACACGTGATGTGACACGATGCCACACCATGTGATAAAATGTATCTTTTCCATGTTAAAAAGAGTTTTTATCCTAAACATTAGTGATGGTGACGAGTGAAATTTCTGTTTAGAAATTATTTGTATTTTTGTGATGTCTCTGTGATATTTCTGTAATGTGATCTTTCTGAACATTAGCATAACATACTGACAATGATCACCTTTGATTATGTGCTTTATTTAGTGTTAATTGCTACCAGTGTACATTTGAATACCATTTTACATGACATCTATTGCCATACTGAAAGCAGAAGCTGATAAGTAAAGTATCTTGAAAGTAAAATAACTATCAAACAGTTGCAAAATGAAAGTCAGAACTGTGACTCAGTACAAGTCAACTATATCAGCCACTCAGTAGTCTATAAACCTCCTATAATGTTAAATATGATAATATTTAATAATTAGATTACAACATTTACCATTAGGAATACAGTTTCTAGTTTTTAAATGAATAGCTGGTATTTAAGTGTTTCTTTTGTGTTGTGCCGTGTCTGGTGCAGACAGACAAATTGCTTGTCACTAGAATCTTGTTCGTTACATGTACAGTATTAAGGACACTGTGTTAAAATGTATCAAATGTCAAGTGATCTTGCATTCAAAAGTGGATGTCTTGTGGTAGGAAACTTAACACTGTTCTGAGATCGATCCGTAGTTTAATGGAGTTCATAGGAACTGTTGAGGCAAGGCTTTTGATGTGCATCAAAAGTGTTCTGACATGTTTCGATAACACGTTTACGGACAGTTAATTAATAAAATCAAAGGTCTATACCTTTGAAAATAAAGTTGGATATTCCAATCCATTTATTGTCCATTTCGTCAAAAGTAAAAAAAGTAAACATCAAAATAGACATAAACCCATTCTCAGTAGGGGAGGCTGACGTGAAACTGACGTTTCGACACAGTGTCGAGTTCCCGGAGCGCAAGCATTTTAAAACACTACCGAATCATGATCCAAAACACCCAGGTCACATGACTAAAATGATTCAAAGCATTGGTCGTTTCAAAAGCATTTCAAGACCTGGCCAATCTGCATTTGACTGACAGGGTCTGAAAAATTTCAATCTCGTGCAGCCTAGTGGACTGTTCGCAGGCACAGAGTAACTCTGCTGAGTTCGAATTCCGACTTGTACAAATATTCTGAAGTTAAGACTTGATATATTTTAATAATTTTACTTTTTATGACCAAAACAAGACATATTTATTCACAAAGTGTTCGTAAGGATGTCAGACCAATGTAAAAAAAAAAAAAAAATTAAAAATAAATAAAAAACATAGAAGAACAGAGCATTTAAAAAACTAACATCTATAGTTGCATCATCCTGGATTCAAACCTAATATTCCTACATGCTAGTCAGGAACTCTCACCACTTCACTAAATCACTTGAAACATCAACTCTACAACATTGTGTTTAATACCTTAATTTGCATAACTGTTTCTTTGCTGAAGCTGTTGCAGAGCAATACATAAAAATATAGAAACGGATTTCATAACGTTTCGAAGCTGCGACCCATTTGCTTTGACTTCTTCAGTAGGTTTGAAGCCTCGCTTAGCCCACCACTAATTCTCAAGTCCATTACTTTCAGAAAGTTTGTTCGACCTTCTTCTATATCCCCTAGGTCATTGCTTGGAGAGCATAAATACATTATACACCCTCTAGTGGTGTGAAAGAAAAGTACAACTAAAAAATGTCTCCTACAGTATTCGACCAGTTTAGCAGAGTTAACACGCTTAGCATGTCTTCTTAAAATCTTATAACTGAATCCGTTACAATTCTTCACTATTTTATGATTCTATGTGCATTGTCCTTTTATCAAGCATCTTTTTGTGTGTTACTTATATTCAGTTATACCCATGTAAATATTTAGATAAAAACATAGCTTCCCTGAAGTGCATTCTCGAGGAAAGGCTACCAGCATTCAAATGAACTTTAGCCAACCTGAAGAAAAACTGGCTTTTATCCAGATGCAAGTGCTCCAGTTTTGGTGGCTGGAATCTAGACCAGCAGTCATACACTGACACACTCAATTTGCTATGCACACTTCATTTCATAGCACACTCTAATCAGTGCGCTCTATTCTCTGTTTTACGTCAAGAAGCTGCCCCTACAGCAGCCATCCTCACCCCCCCTCTAGTCTGCAGTCTTATGTAAACCTTCAGCTATGTGTTTGTATGGGCCTGAGCCCATTGTAATGCTGTTTTATAGACCTCTGATTTTCCAGGGCTGCAATTCACATTTGATAGCCTTTGATATTCCTCAGGTGCCGAGCCAACAGATACCTATAATTCACTGTTTTTACTAGATGCCAGCCAACATCTCAGGGCAGCACAAAGCACACAGACCATTTTTACAGTGTCAATATGAGAAAATCAACAAAGCACAAGATTTGATGCTTCAGAGGTATTAGATATCAGTCCAAAGTTCTAGTTTGAATATTTGAAGTGCTTATTGAATCTATGATTGTATGTGTTTTTGCAGCGATGGAGGAGTTGTTGGCAGAGTTACGAGTGTTTCTGGAGTTGTTGGACAGAGAGTATTTGACTGCTGGAGTGAGAGAGAAGAAACAGCAAATATTAAACATCCTGCACAGAGTTCTGGCCACTAGAGGTAAGCGGAAAAAAAGCCCTTTAACTGCTCTTTTGACCTTTGACCACAGTTGAACTCTTCACAATGCACTACATCTCATCATCATAACTAAAGTGTTCTTAAAATCAGTCAATCATTAAGGTTTTTCAGCATTTTGAATGTGTTGAATGTGTGTGCTTTGTTCTCTCAGAACCCTCATGTAAGACAGAGATACACACATCTCTCCCGGCCCCTCCCCAGATGCCCCTACCAGAGATTCCTCACCCCTGGATGGTAAGTGTTGCAAAATTACAATTCATACAGCAACTATTAGGGATGTAGTGGATCATTGGTGATCTGTATATACCATGCGATTTTGTTCTTTTCTTGTGTATAGTCTCTTTAAAGGTTACTTACATCTATTTTGGACTGTTTGGGATTACACTATTTTCAGTGTGTGCACTGCACACAATAAGAGCTGCCTCTCATTAAGTTCTCCTTTGGATAATCTTTGGAATTTGACAAAATGATGTAAAATTTCACCCATTTTAGTAAAAATATTTCTGTGAGAAAAAAGTTTGTGAAAGTAGTTAAATAATAACATACGGAATAACATGCCAAAAAGTCTAGTAAACTACAATAAATGTAATGTAATGTGTATTTATATAGCACATTTTTCGAGTTCGAACATACACCAAAAGCGCTTCACAATCATGAGCGGGTCTCTCCACACCACCATCAGTGTGCAGCATCCACTCGGATGATGCGAAGGCAGCCACAGGACAATAGCGCCAGTGCGCTCACAACACATCACCTATTGGTGGAGTGAAGAAAGAGTGATAGAGCCAATTCGGTGGATGGGGATGATTGGGACCCCGTGATGGTTAAGGGCCGAGAGGGAATTTGGCCAGGACACCGGAGTTACACCTCTACTCCTTACAAGAAGTGCCATGGGATTTTAAATGACCACAGAGAGTCAGGACCTTAGTTTATCGTCTCATCTGAAAGATGGTGAAAGTAGTCTAACAATAACATACGAAATAACATGCCTAACAGTCCAATAAACGACAAAAAAATGATTGTGTGAGATATGATTCAATATATGGACCAAACTCTACTTAACAAACTCTCAAAAACCTTGTCTTCATTGATTTTCTAATATAAGTTTGTTTGCTTTAGCAGTCCAGAAATTATGTCTCACTATCAAAAACCTCCAGTGGACAGTAGCAAAATGAGACACAGATTTAGAGTTCCACATGAGGTGGTTATTAATTAGCAAATAATATAAATATTGTAAAAGAAAACATTAGGTAAGAAGGTTACATTGTATAAAAACCCTAAAAACTCTATGTGACAAGATACACAGTGATAAGCAATTTGGCTGTTTGCACCAGACGCAGCATGACAGAAATTTAAATACAGCCATTCATAGTGCACTCACTGCTCTCCAACGATATGGTAAGGTTTATAATCTAATTAACACATATTAAACATATTTAACATTATAAAATGTACATTCTGAATCACTGATATTTGTTGGCTTGCACTGAACTTACAGTACTAAAGTTCAATTTCAAAAGGCATAGATCTGAGGTGAACTATCTGCTGCTACTTTTCAGTGGTATGGCAATAAATGTCATTTAGCAATTAGCATTTAGCACTAAATAAAGCACATGAGGTGTACCTGAGGTGATCATTGTCAGTTTGTCTTTTTGTTCAGCTGCAAGAGATAAAAGCCATTTCTAAAATATTAATTTCAGGTGACCGTTAGAACAAAAACTCTTTTTAATATTGAAAATATTCCTTCTATTGTGTGCCACTGCTTTCATTTTGAACACCACGTAAATAAGCCTTTAGGCTCAAAAGTCATGCTCGTTCCTGTTGATGATGTTAATCCGGCAACCTGCTCTTGTGTGTTTTGAACCAGGCATGCAATACCTAGTTCAACCAATAGGCATCAAACTTACATACTGCAACTTTAACCCGGTGAACCGCAGCAACCTAATTAATCAAGGAGTATTTATGTATGACCTCACCTCTCTTACCTCTGTCCCTCAGCAGTTGATTATTACAAGTGTGAAGTCCTGAAACAGTAATCATGTTGTCTTATGTATGAACCCTGACTGCCACTTGCTGGTGGTTTGATGGTGTCTTTTTGTAAAGTGTTCAGTGTTTGTTTTATGAGCTCTGTAAAACAGCAGCAGGAAGTGTTCACATCAGTTTTCTGTCACATGACCTCATAGTTACCGACACGCGACCCTGATGTGGTCTCATCCGTCACACATGAAACAGATTACGGCTGTATGTATGTACGGGCTCACATATGTGTGACACTTAGAGCAACAATGATCTTTGTTTGAGGGCAGAAGCAGATGCTTGTGATAAATAGCAGGTGTTCATGGGTCATGGTTGGTCATTTTCAGCGCACACATCCCAGCACCTTGTTTAACAGTGCACTCTTTACGCACTCAGCGCTTTACAGTATAATTAGAAACATCCTTTCCTACTTCAGCCATCCGTGCTTAACCCTGGTGTGCGTGTATGTGTGTGTGAGGCGGTTCCCATTCCCGGAAGGTGTGAGGGGGCATAGGATTGTGGGGTAGACTGTGTGAGATGAAATGATAGAAATATCCATTTACTCCAGTCCAAGGTCGGACCTCTGCTTGTGCAAAACCTGCCTGAGGATAGGCAGAACCTGAAAGTCGCCCACCATTTTTTTCTTTTCCACTGTACTGTTTAGTTTTTCTTATTCCTGCTCTTCATCAGCCACACCCTCTGCTCCATGCAGTTCTTCTCTCTCTCTCTTTCTCTCCCCAGCTATGTGATGATTTAGTATTGCGTCAGTGAGCCAGGTTTATAAACTGACTCTCTGTTATATTCCTGCCAGACCTAATTCTGCACATTCAGTATGTGTGTGTGTTTGACTAAAGCCTTCTATGGCCCTTATGAGTGTTCAAAACCGCACCAGGAGAGAAACTGAGGGATTGAATAAGGAGGACTGAAACTGGGCATGTGGGTGGTGAGATAGGGCCGCGGACAGGACAGCAGACGCCACAGTACGCAAGGGGGAGAATAGTGTCTGTAGACTTTCTGTGCATGTGTGTGTGTGTGTTTGTGTTGACTTGAACTCTGTGGCTTTGGGTTTATGAATGTTTGGCAGCAAATTCACTGCAACTCTTCCCTGTGCATGCACTATAATAAACCCAGCAGAGAAATATCTGACTTTCTATTGATGCTTCATGAGGCTTGCTAGGTGCTAATTTAGTTCCAATTGTGACCTTTACTTAGAGATGAATGGGGGCTATGCTTACTGTACACTGACTTAAGTCTTGTCACCCATCCCAGTTGTAAGAGCAACAAATAATAACTTGACTTCTAGTTGATAATTTGGAAAAGTGGCAGATGGTAGCTTTTTCTGAAGAATCATCTGTTGAACTGCATCCCAATCGTCACAAATACTGCAGAAGACTTATTAGAACTCACATAAACCCAAGATTCTCATAGTTTGGTGAAGGAGAAATCATGGTTTGGGGTTACATTCAGTATGGGAGTGTGCGAGAGATCTGCAGGGTTGATGGCAACATCAACAGCCTGAGGTATCAAAACATTTGTGCTGCCCATTACATTACAAAGCACAGGAGAGGGCGCTCCTTCTCATACTTCAGCCTCCACATAAAGTTTCTGAAAACAAAGAAGGTCAAGGTGATCCAGGGTTGACCAGCCCAGTCACCAGATTTAAACATTATTGAGCAATTCTGGGGAAAGATGAAGAAGGCATTAAAGATGAATTCAAAGAATCTTGATGCTGGGAGTCCTGCAAGAGCACTTTCTTTGCCATTCCAGATTACTTTATTAATAAGTTATTTGAGTCATTGCAGAGATGTATGGATGCAGTCCTCCAAGCTCATTGGAGTCATGCACAATATGAATTCTTTTTCCACTGCATCATGACTTTATATTCTACATTGTACATTATTTCTGTTAAGTGACTTTTGTCTTTGCAAAGTCAGACCTAACTGTTTTAATTAAATAAGTAAAGTAAGTATGCCTTTCATAAAAGCCACATTTGTTGTTCCTAAAACTTGGATAAGCAACAAGACTTTTGTCAGGTAGTGTACATGCATGCAAAGTTTGCTCTTATGGGAGTCACATAATAACTCAATCATTAAAACCAGCAGTGATGTAGGTATACATTGATTACCTATACTTACTACAGTAACTGTCTCTTTGAACATAGAGTCTTGTCATTATGTAGTCTAAGACTGGTTGGCCAAATAAGCTAAGCTGAATTTAGCCTGGTCATAGCCTATAAGGTGACCACCTGGAAAAGCTTGGTTTCTTGTTGTTAGTGAGGCCAGTAGGGGTTTGCATGCCTGTGGACTGTGTTCTGGATCCTAATTCACCAGTGTAGTGGGACTAGTTACTTTGAATGGGAGATAACGCCAAGGTGATAACTACCATTTCGTTCACCCGCTATGGCCTTCCAATCTAGCTCTGTTCCAACCATAACATTTTCTGGCAGGATTGTGCAAACAGGTTTACCTGACTCTAAAAGACTTTAGACATTAAAACGGTCTATAAATTACAGATTTATTCATTCATCAACTTTAAAAAAAGTATGTTGGATTGACCAATGGACTTCTACCAAAATCCAGAAACCTCTCTATTTTTCATCATCCAGTTGTTGACATTGTTGAATCCAGGACTTAAATGACATTGCTCTCTGCTAGTTTACATAATGTCAGAGTTCTTATTTTTAGTGCAAATGTAACCAGCAAAATAACCCAATATTTTGTTCTTAGGGGACCACCTTGGTGGCTAGTTCCTGTAAGTACACCATGTGAAAGCCCCATAGGTTACAACATTTTTGTTGTTGGTCCAGTCATGCCTCTTTGTACTGTGTGACACTCAACACTGCTTTTTATGTTGGTTTGTTTAAAAACACATTTCAGTACTACCCCTGGTGTGAGTGTTGAGTGCTGCTTTAGGGCAAGTTCTACCTTTCAAAGCAAGCTAGATGCAAGGCATTGTAATGGAACAGAACGCAGACGTCTTGTGGTGTGTTTTTTGACACGACATCTTAAAAACTTGATGCAGAGAAGCTGAAAATACAGAGATGTGATGTAACCCTCCCATACTATCATGCACAGTGAGTTCAAAGACAACACTGCCAAATATCAATAAACATTTGTGGATTTTGTCAAGGAGGGGGTAAGTCCCTAATACACTTTCTTCAGTTGCCGAATTACATCCTGCCGTTTGTAGCTGAGCAGTGAAAGAGCGTGTGTAAGAGA